CTCCCCTAACACCCCTTCCGTGGTGCGAAGGAGTCGAGCCTAAAAAGCTCTTTAGAAACTGGAGGGCCACGAAAACCGGTTTTGGCTTCAGGTGGGTAGACTCTCGCCCTTCGGGCCGAAAGGCGACCTCCGTCCGATTCCGTCAAGGGCCATGTACCTGGGTTGCGGGCACATTCGCAGTGGGGAGTGTGCAGGAAGGCAGCTGATCGATGTTTCTCTCTCATCGATGTTTCTAACTCTCTATCTCTCTCCCTCCTATCTGTGAAAGATCAATAAAATATATTTAAAAAAAAAGAATCTGTAATCCCTGCTTCATTAGAGATACAGCTGTGTGAGCATGCTAATTATTTTTTGAATGAAATAATTTATGTGTTCTCATGTTCCCAATGTGTCTGTCCTGGTTTCCCCCAGTTCGATGCCGACCGAAACGAGGATGAGGTGTTCTATGACATCAGCATGGCGGTGGACAGCAAGTTATTTCCGAACAAAGAGGCTGCAGCAAGTAAGTCCCTGTGTCCTTCGAGCAACAGTCTGTCCTGATCACCTGCCAGGTGTCCGGGGCTTTGTTGTAAGGTTGGAGCTCAACACATTGCTGTGAGGTTTTGAGGATGACGCTGTTCTCAGAGCTTTATACTTTCTGGTCTAGAAATCAAGGTACAAAACAAAAGAGAAAGGAAGGCCCTTATAGTTACTTGCCTTTCTTCCAGTCATTACACATGCAAATTAGTAGATAGTCACCATGTAGCATAAGACCTATCTATATATATAAAAGCCTAAGCGACCATTACAACAGAACAACCGGAACGACTGGTCGCTATGACATGCACTGACCACCAGGGGGCACAGGCTCAACGCCAATGGGACCTGCCAGCAAGTCTCCCAGTCCCTCCCCCCAGCTGGCAGGCCCCGATCACCCAATCGGGGCCAGGCCCCTGGGCTGGGACAGGGAACCGGGGGTGGATGGCAGCAGACGCAACCCCTTTCCCAGGGGGGCCAAGGGCCAGCTCTCTCCTCGGGGCCAGCGGCCAACTTCCTGGGTCCCTCCCCCCGGCCTGCAGGCCCCAATCGGCCCACCGCCCACCTGCCTCAGTGGCGGTTGGCAGTCTCCCCCTGGCCGGCAGACCCCAATTGCCCTATCCAGGCCTGCTG